ACGATGACCTTGAAGAAAGTGTGGTCTTCTCTGTAGAGCCTCTCCAGATCCATATAAAACGCTTCCTACTCCTCTTCTTCGTAGCTCGATGTTGGTGCGTAAGCAACGAAGATGGTTAGAGCTGGGATTGAGCCACATCTTCTTAATCGCAAACGTCCGATTCGGGTTGTTAAGCTTTCGTACGAATCGATGTTCATGGCCAAGTGCGTGTTGACGAGGACACCTACGCCGCCGACGCCTCTACTGTCGCATGTTCCAAGGAACAGTTCTTCTCCAGTCCCAAATACAGCGTGCAGCGCGCGATGCCTTCTCGTCTCGGCCAGTCCGATGACGTCGTACTTGATCTTCCTAGCTTGCATCATCAGGTCTTCTATACACGCTACCGATGCAAGCGTGCGTGCGTTGAAAGTACAGATCGCCATCTTAGTCCTTCTCCTTTTGAGCAGCCTGTACTGGCCCTGAGATTTTAGCAGCCTCTCCCGAGCGGTCCTGCCCAACGCTGCCGAATTGGGGGCTCCCTCAGGTTCAGGGGAATGAGGCCCATTTCTGTTACTGTTTTTGGCGTGAAGATACCCAACGTGCAGCTTGCCAGGCTCTGACGTGGGAGCCGTTGACTCCGGGGGCTTGCCAGGCTATCCCGAAGTGGACAAGGGGCTTTGTTTTTGGAGGCGGCCCCGAATCGCCTCCCAGATACTTCCCAGCGTGACTTGTTCGTCACTCGAATGCAAGCTTTTGGCGGAGTCGATGGGCAGGATACCAACTGCACCCACAGACTCTCCACACACGTATGGGTGGGTCGCCTGCGAAGAACAGAGGGTATATCGACTCAGCACAGCAGAATCAAGGAGTCCATCCTCTGAATCCAACTGCGTCTCTGGGAAGTACCGGTGAGTTTTGGTCGGCGATTAATTCCCCTATCCGCCACCTGGGGACGCCCTACGTAGCCTCGTCACTAACCGGCTGGGATCCTTCAGTGAGAGAGAACCCTCAGTGAAGGAGATCCGCGGTGTATGACGCATAAGGAAGGAAACGTGGGATGAGCTCGAAGCTACAATATCGAAGCATTCGTTCTACAAGCACTCCATTCACCAACCCTCCAATACATAAAGAAGGAAGTGTAGAATCTAGCTTGGTTTTCATATCACTTTATCGTAATCATAAATTTCTCGGACGGACATACAAACCGACAAACCGACACACCAAGTTACTCCTTTATAAATAAGAGGATAGTGACAGTGGAAGGCAGTGGAAGGTGAATTTGCGCAGTTCTTGTTTGATGTAGTCAGCTCTTTGTGCAATTGCAACAAATGAAATCTCGTCACAAATAAGATCTCGTCCGAATACCCTCTAATGTTATTTCCGCCATGGTAATCTCGTCCTCCCTCTATTTCCCCTACTTTTAAGGAGCCATATTTTTCTCGTAGTCGCCGAATTGTCTCGCTTTCTTGACTACCGATGAACCATTCCTATCCTACACCCCTTCCGCTTTCCGACTAAAAAGGGGTACCTCGAATTTATCGTGGAATGTGCCTTGTAACAGGACCCACACCTTACAAGCAGGCAGCTCACTGTAGCCAGCTCTATTGAATGGCATGTAATAATCTCGTGAAAATGCCCCTTCAATGCCCACGCAGCTTTTCCCGTCGTATTCTCGTTCAACATCCAATTTGACTTCTTTTTCGAGTCTTACTCGCGCTTTCTTCGCCACTTCTGCACTATTCTGGACTATTACTTCCATTACTCGTCGAAAACTAGACACATCAAACTTATCGTAAGCTGTGCCTTTAACCAGTAAGAGGTTTCATTCGAAGAAAATTGAAGGGCACGTAAAGTTGAAAAATCAGTTGAAATTGATCGACCTTCTTTGAATTCTCCTCTCATACCTGCTGAAATTACAGACTCCCACGATGCGTCTCTACCTATTCGGTGTGAATAATGCAGATATGCAAGTACATACATACATTTGGAATATCCTTCTGCCGTGCGAGGTTGTTAGGTGGGATAGTTTAACAAATCAACTTCCTAACGTTTCGAAACTATCGTCTACTTGAGCGGCCTAAAGCAACTTGAGACTATCTGCACAGTATCCAAAGAGCGCATCACCCACTCCGGCGAATATGACGACAAATTCGAAACCCACAATTCGAAGCTTAACTCACTAAGGCTCCACTGCTCGAACAGACATAAAATCCACTGTCGCCACACGCGGCTGTCAGTAGCGAGTGAGACTTCACGCTGTCTCCCTCCTACTTGTGATCACGTCATAATGCTACTAAATTATAAGTCACAGTGCGGTATATACGGCAAAAGATCGTTGGCTGTAGGCAGTGCTCATCTCTGCCGTTCATTTCAGGATTTCTTCGGAGAACCCAAACGCCCTTAATGCCGTTCTCGCTGAAATCTCCTTCTTCCGCGTTAATATCGTGCACTTTAGTTCAAAGTTGTTGCCGTTGTGCTCCTCAATTCTGTGCGTGTCAAGCGCCGTCAGATTGAGGCCTCAGATGGCTTTGAAAAAGCATCGGCTGCAATTGGAAATCATATCTCACTTGACGTTTTTGTTCTTCCAACTGTTCTGCGCAAAAGTACGTCACCGTTTACAAAAAGTGCAATTACGTACGACTGACAATTTCACGACTTCAGTTAATCGATATCGCAAGATCGCTTGTGTCTGCCCCAAGCTTTTACAGATCTGGTGCAGCGGTTGTTCTTCAGAAGCTGATTTCCTCATTACCTTCATTTCCCGGATACTGAGTGGCCCATTTGCTAGTTATTCGCTCTCGTCATGGTCCTGTTTCCTTACTTTCCGTTTTTCCTTTTGCCTGTGACTCAGCGTGCTAATCATTCTTTTTACAGCTTGGGATGCCTGCTGCATATTGATTCTCATCGAGTAACTACTCAATATGGGCAGAGGAGAAGAGAGTGATATACGTACTTTTCTCAATTCGCTCGATGTTACGAAAGAATCCTGGAAAGACGACGTCGAAAAGTACGTCTCTAAAAGAATTTGGGTGCCAATAAACACATGTTTTTTTTTCTGAGTTTCCTTTGCTTTTATGGAAACATTTAGACAAATCAGAATAGGCATGGTATCAACATGTGTGTGGTATCCTTTTTGCTTTAATTATTGTTTAGTTGGATTCTTGAAAAGATTCAATCGCTGAAGAGGCGAAGGCATGTTCCCCGTTTTTCGATCGGTGATGAGGACTATGAGGTTTTCGGTTCGTTTTGTTCCAATTTTTTCTTCGTACTTGCCGTCAGTTGCCAAATATGAGGCGATAATTTATTTACAATATTCTTTTCGAGAATCCTTAAGCCTCGTTACTAGTTGTATTATTATCGGTTATGTTTGTGGGCAGCACTGCCTCTTTTAGAATACGGGAAAACTGTAGTAATAGGTGATGAAAGTAATTGGGTGGTTTTTCCACATTTTTTTCTTTAAGCTTCAGTTTCGACTTAGTAGAAAATGTCGTTAGGAAATAGATAGAATAGATAATAGATATCCATTGCGAAAGTCAGATGTGTAATGATTTGAAAAAAATTCAGGCCTTAATGATTTTTGTCCCATTTTCAAATGATGTTAGTTTCTGCAGATTTCCGTGCTTTAAATAACTCCAATGCCAAACCAAAATCTACGGACGATGTTACACAATGTTGTGGCAAAGGGTTTTAATTGATACCAAATAGATGAACGCCGCGATCGATTTTAATGAAGGGAGTGTGAGATGATCTTATAGTGCCTATCAGTCGTCATGAATCGTTATGAATCGTGGAGGGAAAGAAACAATATATGATGGACAAAGTGATAACGCGCGGAGCCCACGCCTGGTATAATCAGAGTTTTTAGTTCTGCATTGCTTAGCGTCTAGCAGATAATATTGCACTGATCGTTTTGTCCTTCAGTGTTGTAACAACACGGTTGTTATACCACTCTCTATTAGAATTCCTGATGATGTATTTATCAAATTTCATTGTTATGTATGAAAAAATGACAAAACTTCAGTTTCATTCCATTGAAGCTTTACATTCTAACAATAAGTGGAATTTGAATATTAGGATAAAAGCATCACATTTAGACAACGAAGCTCCAGTGACTACTGATGCTTGCACACAAACATCAACTGATGAAAATCCGCAGCAAGTCAGCGAATCATCTCCGAAATCTCTTGATGAGCTTTCTCGTGATTGGAACGAAGGTGAAACTTCTTTCATTCTAGCGAAGTTCAAAACTCCATTTTCCCATTTTCGGCCCTCATCGTTATTCTTTTGCCTGTTTAGGTAAGGCTCTTTCTGCATTTGATGCTCTCCGTCTCGTTAAACGTGGCATCGTCAAATGTCGTGAATTGGAGTCGCGCCTGGATGCTGAAACGGCTATATTTGTAAGACGCACTTACGTTGCTCCGGAGGTTCTGAAGGAGCTACCGTATAAGAACTATGACTACAAATATGTGAGTTGTTCCGCCTACATTTCCTTTTATGATTGAGAGTCTTCATTTTTAAGGTAACCAATTCTTGTTGTGAGAATGTTATCGGGTATGTTCCGATACCTCTGGGTGTTGCTGGTCCCATTCCTATCAATGGTAGAGAATTCTACGTTCCTATGGCTACCACAGAAGGAGCTTTGGTAGCCAGCACAAATAGAGGCTGTAGCGCAATAAAGGTACGTTTTCACGCAAGTCACTGTCTAGAGTTGTTGGGCACTCCTTATTGTTTTACAATCTAGTCAATCTAGTCACTAGAGTTGTTGGGCACTCCTTATTGTTTTACAATCTAGTCACTTAAGTCCATAACGTCTACTGAAGAACGCGTACCAAGAATCAGTATTTTTGGTCTTCTGTCAGTGTGTTTTGCATTAAAACACAAGCGAAGTTCAGAAAAGTGGCGGTGTTTCCACCTGCATCTTCGACGAGGGTATGACGCGTGCTCCCGTTGTCCAATTCCCTACCGCTTTGGAGGCCGTGTGGGTGGCTAGTTCTTCTATGTGAATAGCTAAATTTCAACTGTTTCTGTCGACTTACTGTAATTTTCCTTAGGAAGCTGAAACAGTGGCTCGCTATCCCTGAAAACTTCACTCTCGTCAAAAATGAGTTTGAATCTACTAGTCGGTATGTTCTAGGCAGATTCGCGTTAGGTATTCGCGTTAGCTAAAGTGTGTACAAACACTCGTTCAGGTTCGCCCAATTACGTACCGTAGAGGTAGCCATAGACGGAAATCTAGCCTTTGTGCGCTTCGTCGCTTTGACTGGAGATGCGATGGGTATGAACATGGTATCGAAGTGAGTGTTTATTCAGATGTTAGGGTGTATAGATTCATTTGAGCGGCTTTCAGAGGATGCAACCTGGCAATGCGCCTTTTAAAGGAGAAGTTCCCATCGATGCAATTGTTGGCCCTGAGTGGGAATTACTGTGTTGATAAAAAAGCTGCTGCGATCAATTGGTTAGTTGCCGAAGTAAACGTGTTACAAGTTATGAGTAGAATTCGAATGTTACCACGTAGTTTGCTCCGATATGAAACCGAGTGAAGGTTCTTCATTTTCTCCAGGATCCAAGGTCGGGGACGCTCTGTTGTGGCGGAATGCACTTTGCCAGCTAGTGTTGTATTGTCTATTTTCAAAACAACTCCAAAACAAATGGCTACAGCTGCACAGGTTATCATCTTCGAGAGCCACTCTTCTGTTGCACAAAAACTATTTAAAATGATGTAATTCAATTAAGTCTAAACTACAGTCGGGCTCTGATAGGGCTGTGTGTATTGGCGGTAACAATGCTCACGCAGCTAATGTGGTCGCCGCAATATTCTTGGCAACCGGGCAGGTAATGATTTCCTTGATTCTATGAATTTCGCCAGCCTTGAACCTCTTATTCATTTTGTTCTCTTTTCCTTTTCTCAGTTTCTTTTTCTGGCGGATCTTCCAGCTGTGATTCTTACTATCACAACTATACATATCTACGCTTTTGCAGGACTCTGCCCAAGTTGTCTCGTCATCTATGTGCTCTACTCGTATGAATGTAACCGACGATGGAGATTTGTATGTCAGTTGCACCATGCCGTGTGTTGAAGTCGGCACGGTAGGAGGTGGAACGATTTTGAGGCCACAAAACGAATGCCTTCAGGTGCAGTGGTGCTTCTCATACTTTTTGAGATGAAGAATTTCAACGAAAATTGTTCATTCTCAGATGTTGTCATGTGCTGGACCATCACCAAAAGAAGCAGGAGAGCATGCCCGTCGCTTGGCGGAAGTAATATGTTCTACGGTGCTCGCTGGCGAGCTATCTTTGATGGCCGCTTTAGTCACGGACCAATTAGTGTCTAGCCATATGAAGCTTAACAGGTAGAAAGGCACACTTTCATTTAGCTTACGTTCTCTTTCTCGAAATTTGCTTCTCAGATCACGTTTGCAACTGTATCCTTCCGCGCCTGCTATGACGATGTCCACAGTCGAGAAACCAGTTCCCATTCTGCCAAAGCCGCGAGAAAGGGATTCAGGGCGCGTCAAAAGGACTATCAAAGTTGAATGTTCTAACATTTTATAGCTCTTTTTTTGTTTGTGTTCTGTCGCTGCCTTTTTAGAACTTTCTCTTTCGAGTTTTCGCTGTTGAGATTTACATCTTACTGCTTAGTCTTATCGCATCCTAATTCTACCTTTTTGACCATGTGAACGTTCGTTTTGAACTGTCTGCAGTTGGTTCTGAACTGTATGTTTATTGTTTATTGTTTCGATGAGAGTTAATATTACAATTCTAAGCCTGGATATGAAATTATAGGACTCTTCGATTAACTAGTGATAGGTTCCCGAAGGAACTTTGCATTTTTAGTAGTTAGTAGAGCACATTGATGCTAATAGACTACGTTGAATTTGGTGATAACGAGACAGTTCACCTCAATAGTATGGTTGTTAAGTGTTTTGTTGCTCATCAAGTGAAATATCATTACCAACGAGCTCCCAAGAATGAAAAAGTTAGAACTCTTGAAAATTTTGTAGCTGAATCAAGGCTCCAACGCTTATTTGTTGATGTTGGTCTGAAACGAGCTGGCTCTTCGCAAGAACTCTTCGCCCAATTTTCTCTCGTCTTCGCTTTTGTTCTGAGTTCTAATAAGAGGTGGGTTAGTAAAATAGTGAGTTTAGGACATGTTGCCTGATTCGAAAGACGTATCTTTTTTATTTGATAACTAGTATTTGCGTTGTGGGTATGAGGCGTCTGTCACTATGGAAGACGGGTCAAGCATGAGAAGGAGGAATGATTCTTCCAAAAGAAGGACTCATTTATTCCCTCGTACATTTTCCTTCGTGAACATCCAAAAAAAGAGTTGGTTGGGAGATCGGACTAGGAAAAACGATTCAGGGGATATATGAATATGCCACTGATCGAAGTCATCCTTAAAATCAAAGATATTTTCTCTCTGAAGGAAAGGTTCCACCCTATCCGTTACGAACACATTCTTCCCAACCAAATCTAGCCTTGTTTGAAAGCATAGTCTACAGTGAGGAAGAAAATTCAAGAGGATAACTCGGTTCTTACGGGGACCTTATGGTGGAATGAAAAATCAGACGAAGGACAATATGGACAACCTTTCTTAGTAATAAGATAGATAGTAGTAAATGAATACGCACCCTAATTCCTTTACTTATGACGCATCGAGAAAAGGATATGATATGTGGGTGGTTCACTTCTCTAATCTCGTTTCTGGCGGTGATGAGTCGGATGAATTGTACCGTCTTCGCTTGGCATAGTAGTTGTGAATGTTGTGCCCCTTAGATGGGCAATGTAAGAAATTGTGGGGCGCCACGCAAACATGGTAGTGAACCTACAATCATCCTGATGTGCAGCCTAAAAGCATCGAATACATCGATCATTTTGGTGTTTACACCGCCCTCGATACTGAGTATGGGTATCGTGGGCAGCGCTCAGACTGACGCATGTCTCCATTTTCTGCTGTAGGGTTGAATATGTACAGCGATTTCGTAGTGGATCAGTCGATAAGCAGCTGGAAGGCTGCTTCAATTAGCGAGTATGTTTGTGTACTCAGTGGCGTGTGCAAGATTTAGTCTTCAAGCACAAGAATCTCCGTATCAGCGGTGTACGGGTTTTATATCCAGCTGATACGGTGGAGCTGTTACAACTATTAGTAAAACATCGTTATCATTCTGAGCCGACAGTTATAACGTCTTGTTTGCACTACACTCGAGGCACTAGATTTGACGGTTCAGGAGTTTGAAGTGTCTTTGAGACTTTTGTATTTCGATGTTTGGATGATTCTATCACTTAATATCAATTTTCTCTTCTCTCTCTCTCTGACGAAACGTAAAATGAAGATGTCGTGCTTTCATTGTTATCATTTTTAGAGATTCTCTTTCCACTGTGTTTACGCGCGATTCAAAAACTCAACTATAGAAGAGCTGAGGCCCTCAAATGCTCTCTGCTCGTATATAATCAAGATCCCGAAGCTTCGAGCGAATATGTTATTTCGCACAGATTCGTACATAGGAGGAAATTTTGTAAACTCTCCAACTTCAGATGAAAACAAGTCTCAGCGAGTTGCGAAAATCTCTCCTTGGCAAACCGTACCTCATTTCTTCTTTTCGATACAAAAATCTGGTTATATTCTGTGATGGGTCGATGTCGTTTGTCTATGGGTTGAACAACAATAATGGAGTAGCCGAATACACAAGATCAGTGGTGAGGAAGCATTTTTCGTTACGTTTCAGCATTATGATCTACTAGACTACGTTATTGCCTGAACTAAAATGAGGATTCAGTCCGGCACTCGGCTCTTACAGTAACCCCCTGGCTTACCCTACCACCCACCCCCGTGTCCTTGCCCAAAGCCTCTTTTCGAC